GACCTGCAAGTGCACGAATCCCTGCTTTGGCGTAACCATGAAAGGTAGTTTACCAGGCATCCAGTGAAATGCATAACCCATCTTCATGCATCTCCTCCCCACTGACAATACCGTGGGTGTCTCATCCAATACATGCGGCTCGACAGTCTCGTCCAACTCGTCCACGACTATCTTGGCCACATCAGATGTGGAAGTGGAACCATTCGCGGTCTGGAACACGATCTCGTCGTCATCTTTCACGATGTCGACACCCAGGCTCTTCGCCTTGGCTCTTCCGATGAGATCATGACCACATCCGGTGTCCATCAACCATTTCACCCGTTTGCTGATGCACGTTGACATGGCGAAAACGTTCTTCGGCATACCATGCTGTTTCTTCCAGTCGACAGCCGATTCCTTGATCTCGTCCTTGTTCCGATCATACTCGAACATTATGCTGCTCTCCTTGGTCACCGGGAAGTAGTGCTTCTTATATACATCATCCACCACTTCTCTCAGTATCTTCGCACGTATCAATGATCGTTGGACTTGGTAGGCTGATAATTCACGATGATCACTGCTTTTGAACTTCTTCTCGTCGACGTACACGTACTGATAAGGCTCATTCTCATTGTCCTCATAACCGTACCATTCTCCTTTTCGTTCCCATTGCCTTCTCTCGTCTTCGAGGTAGGTGATCTCCCCATTCTCGTCGACGTCGAGCACTTCCTTGAACCACACCATTTTCTCGGGGATCTCGGACTCGCCAGACCATCTCGATGATTCGCTCATCGCGTCGTCATCGTGCTCGTGGTAGACAGTCTCGGCTTCGTCCGGTTCGACCTGATCAACGTCCTTCTTGAAGCTTACCTTCCCTGCAGGAGCCGATTGCTTCAGGACTATCGCGGGCATTGCGATGGCCCTCCTCGCAATGGCAGGCGCTGCGGCTTTGGCGGCAGCCTTCGACTTGGCTTGCGCCTTGTCATTTGACGTTGCTGGAGCTGAATTGTTCTTGATGAGCTCATGCCTGTACTTACAAGCGCTTCCCCTATCGCACTTCCCCTTCTGAAACGCGAAGCATGCTCCATCATCCCTCTTTGGTGACGATGATCTGGACTTGGATTTGCCCTTTCCTTTCCCCTTGGACATGCTCTCCAACTTATGCTCCGTCTTCTTGCTGTGGGAAAAAGTGCATTCATTTCCTTTCACGCACCCCTTCGCCGATTTGAAGTGGTACCAGCAGGGGTTATCCTTGCTTCCGCCCGGACTCTTGCCTCTGTCGCTGGCACCGTCGGACTTGCCGTTCTTGCCAGCGTGGCCCTTTGCCTTGGCTTTTGGGAGCACAGGAGCGGCATCAGGTCCACCGGGTTTCCCCTTTCTGCCCTTGCCACCCTGGTTCTCCTGTTTGCCAGTTGCTGGAGCCGCATCCTTCCCGCCTGACTTCATCATCGACTTGACCGATTTCTCCTTCATGTCGAGCATCAGGTCTTCCCGATCTGCCTTGATCTGATAGTCGATCAACGCCAATAAGAATTCATACGTCTTCTGAGGATGCTTGTCCGGTAGTCTATGGTAGGCATTGAGGCCGAACTCCATCTTCTTGCTCCCTTTGATCTTCCTGTAAAGGATGTCTCTGAGAGCCAGCTTACTGGGTCTGTCCTCGCTCCTCATCTTCAGCAGCAAATCATACCATTTGTTCCTGAACATGACCAAGTTCTTGTCGCCAGGAAAGTCAAGGTTGAATAGATGCTCGATGTGGTAGACAAGATCCGTTCTATCGGAAGTTCTGAATGATTGCATAACTAATGCCACCAACTCTCGTCCCTTCACGATCACCCCTTGTTGATGTCGTAGTTCAGAGTGTCGTGTAGCATCGAGGTATACGTCCTTGGCTTCGTCAGGTGCTTGTTTCAGCATGTTCTGCATGCCCATGGCCATCTTAATATCTATCGTAGCAAATCTGTCGCCACCTGAATCGCTAAGCAAATCCAGGTCTGGGTTCAACCCAAGAGCCTGCTCCAGCCATTTCGTCCATGCGTCGGTATCTGGATCTGCACATGCGCTCAGAACATTCATCAGCAGTTGCATCTTCCAGGTGTCAAGTTGATGGATCTTTGGCCAGGCCGGAATAGATACTCTCTCGGCCTCTTTCCTCGAGATTCTCGGTCGATCATTCTTGATCTCTCGGTTATCTCTCGATCTCCTTCGTCTCCTCCGTGTCCGATCGTCTTCTTCCTCTTCTTCTTCCTCGTCTTCCTCATCTCCTTCGTCGTCGTCATCCTCATCCTCATCATCGGGTGGATCATCCGGAGGTCCTCCTCCGCCACCAGCGAGGCTCAACTGACGTCGACCCGCTCCCTGCCCATTCCCATTGGGCGGGAATCCACCGTAATCCAATGGGGGCGTAGTACCGTTGTTTCCCCCCCCATCACCACCACCAGTCGTAGTAGTGGATTGTGGGACATGCCCAACAACCCCTTGCATCTGGGATAGGTGTACATCGATCATTGGATCACCGAAAGACGGAAAGAGGATCGAACCTGGCATCAGCGACGAATTAGGGATTTGATTTGAAGACGATGACGGGACTGACCCAGCCACCTTCTTGTCTATCCTATTTGAATTAGCCTGGGTTCCTCCCTCAGCGCGTTTCACTACTGCTCGTTCACGATGTCCATCTTTGCTGCTGGAGGCTTCCTGTGTCTCCAGCTTCTTGTGTGCACGTAGTTCCTCGTTGTCAGCATCGAGTTGGCGTACAAAACTCTCTTCTTGCTTGAGCGTCGCCTCTCTTTCCTTCAGTTGTCCCTGAAGCTCATGCATCTCCTCGAGGTACTCATCGTACATTCCCTTAGCTGTCAATCTCCAGTACTCAGCCTCCTTCGACTTCTCGTCCATCGTGCACCGTTCCTCTTGTTTCTCTTCTTTGACCTGGGCTAACTCCAAGATCGCATCCTGACGATGACCACCTTCGACAGCAATCATCTGGTCCTTCATCGACACGTCGGACTCATACTGTTTGACGATCTCTTCTTTTTCGCGAAGCAAGCAATCTGCTCTCTTCGATTCCTGTTCCGCAAATACTGTAACGTCATTCAGCCTCGCCATCAGCTGTTCCCTGGAGTCCTCCAAAGAGTACGTCTCGGGGCGCTTGACGAGTGCATGCTCCAACTGTGATTTCAGACTTTGGACCATCTCCTCCTCGTTGAACTTCTCGATAGATGTAGAAGATTCTATGCCTCTGATCTGTTGCTGATAACTGATATCTGTTGTGAAGCCTCACGGTGTATCTGATTTGCACGTATAGCTGATTCCTGCGCGGCCGACTTCTCGCTTGCCATGTAGGATCTCATCAATGCAATCTCCCGCTTCTGCTCCATGATAGTTCCTTCAGCTTGCCTCATCTGTTGCATTATAATATTCGACTCCATGTCTTTCTTCTCCCCGTACTGAAATGCGTTCATTTCCACCTTGCGCATCTGTTGGGCTTCTTCCTCAAACTTGCGCCATGCCTCAGCCATGTGGTGTTGGTGGTGACTCACTAGATGTCCCGACTGCTTGCTGGCAATCTCGCATCGTCTTTCCAGCTCCTGGATCCGGATGGTGCTTCCATAGTCTTCTTGGTTAAGATTCGCCATTGCTGCCGACATTTCATCAAGTGTCTTCTGATATTCCCCGATCTCCACCTCCATCTTATTCTTCTCTTTGATCACGGCGCGAAAATCTGCACTGGTGGGTGATTTTGACCTCCCACCCTTCGATGTCGATCTCACGCCCTTCTGCGACGTCCGTGGTGTCGCAGGCGAAGATGATGATCTTCTCGGTGGGGATTCTCTTTTCTTCGACTCCTGATGAACATCGATCTGCTTCCATGATCTTGTGGGAGTAGATATGTCGCTGAATAGCGCGGAACCTCCGCTCCCAGGTTCATCCTGTGAATCTGCAACCATATCCATCACCGCAGGAAGAGCCATCAATCCATTGGATCCCTCTGAGCTGCTGTTCCCAAAAGTTGCAGTACTTGGGCTCGCCGAAGACGCCATTGTACTGTGTAGGTTATCGTTCCTTTATTGTCCCTGTACCCGCAATAAACCAGCTGTCTCCCAGTCCAGTGTAGAGCTTGTAGTTACGGCTGATAACCTGTCAAGAGACGGCAAGGTGACGTCCCGTGGGACGCTGTGCACCGAACCCTCAAGCTTTAATACCAACCACGTAGAAAGGTGTATACGGACGATGCCGTTATAGCCGAACCCGTGTAAACGTTGTAAGGAAGAAGGAATGATATTACACCAGTGGTCCTGACAAAGCGGCGCAAGCAGTTGTTTTGCTCTTAATGCCGATCACGTAGGTCTGCAGTCACACATCAGATCTTGAACCTCAATTGTGTCTTGAGCCAAATGGCGATCAATGGAACTTGGGAAGCAACACCAACAAGGACCTCAGAACAGCTACCCAATTTCGGCACGGGGCCTAGAGGGTTTTAACAAACAACAACAACAACAACAACAACAACAGCAACATCAACAACAAACAACAACCACAACAACGGCGGCGGCGGCGGCGGCGGCGGCGGCAACAACAACAACAACAACAACAACAACAACAACAACAACAACAACAACAACAACAACAACATCAACAACATTCAACAACAACACCAACAACACCAACAACAACACCAACAACAACACCAACACCAACACCAACACCAGCAGCAGCAGCAGCAGCAGCAGCAGCAGCAGCAGCAGCAGCAGCAGCAGCAGCAGCAACAGCTGGCAGCAGCTCCAACAGCATCGGCAGCAGCAGAATCAGCCGCAACAGCTCCAACAGCATCGGCAGCAACAGCCGGCAGCAGCTCCAACAGCATCGGCAGCAGCAGCCGCAGCAGCAGAATCAGCAGCAACAGCTCCAACAGCATCGGCAGCAACAGCCGGCTCAGCAGCAACAGCCGGCAGAAGCTCCAACAGCATCGGCAGCAGCAGCCGCAGCAGCAGCCGCAGCACACCTGGTTGCTGCTAAGGTGCCAGATGGACGACGTTCAGAAACTCATAGCCCATCCGTCCCATAGCACTCCACTTCTTGTTGGTGTCTTTGTCGTGTAGCTTGCAATCTGGCTTCCTGACCTTAGGTACTAAGATTCTTGCAAGAAGTGCATTAGTTTGTTTGTTTTTGGTTGAGGCCTCAGAAGAAAAAAGAATACAGTGGTGATGAATTCCTTTCATACCCAACAAAAGAACATAAAACATATTCTTAAGCAAATGGAGGTAGTCCAAGGTTGAACACTCTAAAAGTCTTAACTCCAGCCTTCCAAATTTCTCATCACCCCCACTAAAACGGATCTAAAGCTCGCACCAAGGTGCCCAGCTGATGCTCTCACGGCGTTCACCCACCGCATCGCTGCCTTCAGTCACTTGCAGTCCTTCCATGCCTGTCATGTCCTTCTTCTTCCCTTTTCCTTGGCTGGAAGTGTATCACAAGCCCCGCCGCCTTTTCGCTTGGTGGGATCCCCAACCTGGAAAAGGGCGGGAGAGTCAAGGGGAGCCCCTGCGATCTCTTTTGAGCACGTCGTAGATTTTGCGGTTCACCAAATCACCACAGGGCTTCATCCATCGGCTCATTTCAAAGGGTTCTCCTCCACCAGAAGCCATTTAGGGAACGACCATGATCGTGTTGAGAAACAATCATCATAGATCCCAGGTGCACGTGGGGAACCCCCCTTTGGTTGGGTTTAAAGGGAACCAAAGGGAGCTCAACCGTACTTTCCCACTTTTTCTTGGTTGCTCATAGAGGGGTTCTCCAACCACGGGAAAAAGGGGAAGCCCCAAGAAGCCAATTAGGGAACGACCATGATCGTGTTGAGAAACAAACATATAGACGAGCGTGCCGTGTTAGGGAACCAGCTTTGCTTGGTTCAAAGGGAAACAACAGAGATAACGCTTCTTTCCTTGGTTCGTCGCGGATGTCTTTTTAGGGGAACCCCCTTTTTGTTGGTTTCAACGGGAAGCCAAAAGAAGACCCAACATCTGTTTCCTTTTCTGTGGTTGGTCATAGACAGGCGTGTCGTTGCCTCAGGGAACATGCTTCGGTTGGCTTCGTAAAATCATTCGGATACCACTTGTTTTAGGGCTCCCTCAAAAACGACAAGCCCGGGCACACTGCGACAAGTTGAAGGTTGGTCGCAGATTCAATACTTTCGACTCGCAAGGGACCCATGAGAGGGTTATTGCCCTTTGAAATTTTGAATGGCCCCCAATTGTCACCAACAAGCCACTAGGTTGCAATGGCTTCTCTTGCTATAGCCTGGATCAGTATATGAGTGCACCCCGTGATCATAGACACCATGCAACAAGTCCACGCTTGCCTGGTTAGTGGGGAAACAGTGATCTAACAGGTTTCGGTCGAGTCAAAGAGTAGCCAAGCTTCCTTTTCCTTTGTCTTTGGTCTCCTCGGCGGCTTCTACTACCTTCGGAGCTTCGCCATTCTTGCCCTCACCATTCTTGCCCTCGCCTTTCTTGCCCTCGCCTTTCTTGCCCTCGCCTTTCTTGCCCTTGCCCTTGCCTTCTTTGCCTTCGCCTTTCGCGCCTTTCACGGCTCCTGCGGCTGCCTTGGGGGCTCCTGGACGACCAGCTCTTCGGACCTCTGAACCAACAGGGTACATCGGGTTGAGGTGTCTCGTTGGTTTTATTCCTCGGCTTTTTACTAGCCCCGGCTCAGCACAGGCCTCCCTCTTGTGGGACTCTAAAGAGGTTGGCTGGGAACCCCTCAGGTTGGGGGCAACAGGCGGTAGTCTCTGGGGTCTCACTCAAACTAGGGCTGCCTATTGGCTTTGATTTGGTGGCAGTTCAGAGTTGCTCGGGGCTGGTTTCGGGTGTGTTGGGCTTGCTGAGGTCTTAATGGGAGTGGGTCTTGGGTTTGTTTGGGATTTGTTTAGGTTCGGCAAACGGCTGATATCCGGCATGCTGTTTGCAGAGCTTAAAGTTGACTTTGAGTCAGATTGACTTCACACCAAGGCAACCGGGGATGCTGGGGAGGCGGTCGCCCAGCCGCCCAGCCGCCCAGCCGCCCAGCCGCCCAACCGCCCAACCAACCAACCAACCAACCAACCAACCAACCAACCAACCAACCAACCACCAACCAACCAACCAACCAACCAACCAACCAACCAACCAACCAACCAACCAACCAACCAACCAACCAACCAACCAACCAACCAACCAACCAACCAGTCCCTGGTCGGGGCTACGCCCAGAGCCGGGGCTAGCAAAAAACACCGGTTCCGGCAAATCGGAGTCAACAAAATGAGCCCGGGATTGGAAGAACGAATGGGTCCCCTCCAAACAACCACAGCCCATCACTCGCTGTGAAGAGCAAGCCTACACGTGTAGAGAAAATTCACACAGATGTTTTTTTTTCTCGAGGGAACCCTTGCTAGAGTTTTCAGGGTTGGTTTAAACGGAAATCACAAGGAACACCACCACTATTTGGGCCCCTGATAGCGACGCACAGCCGCTTTCAACCAACAATCGTCTCAAAATGACAACTTGGAGTCTCCATGACCCTTGAAGAAATGGGGTCATTACCCAAAATAATGGGGTCATGGACCCATTTTAATAGGGGCATGGAGAGGCTGCCCCTGCCAAGTGACCCGGACTCTTCGGGTAGAAAACAAAACCGTGCCCTGTCCTTTTGCCGCTCCTTTGGCGCCCTTGCCTTCCTTTGCCGCCTGTGCTTGCAGTGGATCCTGAGCGGACGCGGGCACAACGGGCGAACTCAGGGTGCACAACTTGGAGCAATATACAGTTTCTAGGTCCTCGAGTAGAGAGGTTCCAGCAAACTTCATGTGGGGCCTTGGCTTGTGGGGGCCCTCTGCCCTCCAGAAAAAAACTTGAAGCCACGGGAAAACACAGGAAAAACACCAAAAAAAAACACCCAGATCCCAAACCTGCCCAAGCGCCCAAAGTCGACGCTGGCTCAGCGCGTCAAGAACATGCCGACGCCATTTACTCTTGTACTGATGACTGCAACATCTAAACATCCGAACGTAAGCTGAGCGCCCACAAGCTCCCACATGCACACTCGTGGAGAACGCACGCAACACTTCCACCCACAAGCGCCCACGTGCGCCCACAAGACCCGCAAAAGAGCGCCCACAAGCGCACACATGCGCCCATGAAAGGCATTAAACACTGCCGCCCAACAAGCGCCCACATGCGCATGAAGGCGACCCCGAAAAACGCCGCCGAGAAGCAACCGCAAGTGCCAGTACCCGCACCGCCGACTGAAAGTGTCCATGGCAGCTAAAACCGTCCACACAAGGGCGCAAACCGCCCGCAAAAACAGTTCAGCCCCACATGCGCCCTCATACCATGACTGGAGCGCCCGCAACGCTACCGCCCACACCGCCAAGACTTCCACCCGCATACGTTCATGACCCACCCAGACTGACTGGCGCCCACAAGCGCCCACAAGCTCACGTGCGCTCACAAGCACCCATCAAAGAGGCACTTCTTCCAAGCGCTTGTATGCGTTCACAACCCGCAGCACAACACTTCATCAAGAAAGCACCTGCGCCCACAAGCGCCCACAGGCACTCACCACATCCGCCCAGAAGCGCCCGCATGCGCCCATGCGCTCACGCGCCCGCCAGAAAGCCCCGCAGCACTTCCGCCCACAAGCAAGCGCCCACATGCGCCCACATGGAAGCAAACCAAGAGAGAGCCCGCGTGTGCCCACTAGCACCCACAAGCCCATGAAAAGCGCGGCGCCCGCAACACCACCCACCAAGCCAAGAGCTACAAGCCCACACCCGCAACCCCGCCCACAAACAGAGCACCCACGAGCCCCCCAAAACGAGCGCCAACCAAGCCCAGCAAGAGCGCCCCAAAAACCGGCGCCCACAAGCGCCCACAAGCGCCCACAATGCCCACAAACCCAGAAAGAGCAACAAAGCAAAAGCGCCCACAAGCCCAGCAAGAGCCCACGAGCGCCCAAAAGGGCCCACAAGGGCCAGCCCAGCAAAAGCGCCCACAAGCGCCCACAAGCCCAGCAAAAAGCAAAAGCGACCACAAGCCCAGCAAGAGCGCGCACAAGCGCCCAAGCGCCCACAAGCCCAGCAAAAGCTCTTAGCAGCCCACAAAAGCGCCCACAAGCGTTATAAGTCAATAAGCGCCCACAAGCCCAGCAAAAACGCCCACAAGCCCACCGACAACCTGGATTAAGGGTAAGCAGGGCGTCTTTTACCAAAAGTTCAGACACATTTGCTTTGGGCCTAGGTTTGCGATCGTCCGGAGGAACCCTCATCGTCTTGAAGCAGTTGACTTTTTTGAGGCATCGTCCACCAGCAAGAGCGCGCAAGCGCTCGCAAGCCCAGCAAAAGCGCCCACAAGCCCAGCGAAAGCGCCCACAACCCCAAGAGAGCCCACAAACGCCCACAAGCCGACTGCAAGCCCAGCGAAAGCGCCCACAACCCCAAGAGAGCCCACAAGCGCCCACAAGCCCGGCAAAAGCGCCTACAAACACCCACCGCCACAAGCCCAGCAAAAGCGCCCACAAGAGCGCCCAAACAGCAAAAGCACCCACAAGAACCAAGCCCAGCAACGCCAACAAGCCCAGCAAGCCCCGCAAAAGCGCGCAAAAGCGGTCAAGAGCGCCCGCAAGCGCCAACATAGCAAAAGCGCCCAAAGCCCAGCCCCACAATCCCAGCAATAGCGCCCACAAGGCCAGCAAGAGCAGGCCAGCAAAAGCGCCCGCCCACAAGTGCTGAGCCCAGCAAAAGCGCCCACCCAGCGCCAACAAGCCCAAGCAACAGCGCCAACAAGCGCCCACCCACAGCCGCCCACACACGCCCACAAGCCCAGCAAAACCGCCCACCAGCAAGAGCGCACAAGCGCCCAAGCCCAGCAAAAGCGGCAAGCCCAGCACAAGCGCCCACAAGCCCAAGAGAGCGCACAAGCGCCCACAAGCCTAGCAACAGCCCCCGCAAGCCCTACAAGCCCAGCAAAAGCGCGCACAAGCCCAGCAAGCCCGCAAACCCAGCAAAAGCGCCTACAAAGAGCGCCCAGAGCCTCAAGCCCAGAAAAAGCGCCCACAAGCCCACAAGAGCGCCAAGCCCAGCCGCCCACAAGCCCAGCCCACAAGCTCAGCAAAAGCGCCCACAAAGAGCACCCACAAGCGTAAGCCCAGCAAGCCCAAGCGCCCGTAAGCCCAGCAAAAGCGCCCACAAGCCCAGCAAAAGCCCACCCACAATCCTCGCAAAAGTGCCACGTGCAGGCGCCCGCCTGCTCAGCACACAACGGTGCAGCCTGTGGGCTTGTGTGCATCTTAAAGGGATACATGTGGGCGCTTGTGGGCACTTCGGCCCGGCGGGAACAACGGGAAAAAACGAGCGGGACAACGCAAGTGCATGTGGGCGCATGTCGGCGCAGCGCCCACAAGCACCCACAAGCCCAAGAAACCCACAAGCCTAGAAGAGCGCCAAGACCAGCAAAAGCGCCAACAAGCCCAGCAAAAGCGCCCACAAGCCCAGCACTGCAAAAGCGCCCAAGAGCGCACAAGCGCCAACAAGCGCCCACAAGCCAGCAAAAACGCCCAAGCCAGCCCCACAATCCCAGCAACAGCGCCCGCAAAGCCGAGCAACAGCGCCCGCAAAGCCCAGCAAGAGCAGCCCAGCAAAAGCGCCCACCCACAAGTGCTGAGCCACAAGCCCAGCAAGCGCAGCAAGAGCGCCCACCCACAACCGCCGCCCACACACGCCCACAATCCCAGCAAAACCGACCAGAAAGCCCAGCAAAAGCGCCCACAAGCCCAACAAGAGCGCCCGCAAGCGCCCGTAAGCAAAAGCGCTTCGCCAAAAAGCGCCTACAAGCCCAGCAAAAGCGCGCGCAAGCCCAGCAAGCCTCTACAGCCTCTACAGGCTCAGCTAGCAAAGGCGCTTACAAGCGCCCACAAGCACAGCAAAAGCCCAAGCGCCTACAAAATCGCAAGCGCCCACAAGCGCCCAGCACAAGCCCGGCAAAAGCGCCCACAACCTACAAGCCAGGAAAAGAGCCCACAAGCCCACAAGATCGCCAACCCACAAGCCCAGCCCACTCACAAACCCAGCAAGCCCCGCAAAAGCGCCCGAGCACGCGCCAACGCCCACAAGCCTAAGCCCAGCAAAAGCGCCCACAAGCCCAGCAAAAGCCCACAAGCGCCCACCGAAAAGTGCAGCAAAAGCGCAGCAAAGGGTGCCACCTGCAGGTGCCGGCCTACTCACAGCAAGTGAGCCCACAACGGTGCAGCTAAACATGTGGGCGCTGGGCACTTCTGGTTGATTGTGGGAAAAGAAAGAAAAACGGGAAAAAAACGGGAAAAAACGGGATCGAGCGGGAAAAAACGGGAAAAAACGGGAACGAGCGGGAAAAAATGGGAACGAGCGGGACAAAACGGGCTGACGCGAGTGGATGTGGGCGCATGTGGGCGCATGTGGGCGCATGTGGGCGCATGTGGGCGCATGTGGGCAAAATCGCCCACAAGCCCAGAATGAAGAGCGCCCACCCACAACCGCCCACACACGCCCACAATCGCAGCAAAACCGCTCACCAAGAGCGCACAAGCACCCAAGAGAGCCCACAAGCGCCCACACGCCCAGCAAAAGCGCCCACAAGCCCAACAAAAGCGCCCACAAGCGCCCATAAGCAAAATCCCTTAGCCAAAAGCGCTTACAAGCCCAGCAAAAGCGCGCACAAGCAAAGCGCTTTTGCTGGGCTTGTGGGCGCTTTTGCTGGGCTTGTGGGCGCTTTTACCGGGCTTGTAAGGCGCTTGTGGGCGCTTGGGATTTTGTGGGCGCTTGGGGCTTTTGTGGGCGCTTGGGCGTGGGCTTGTGGGCGCTTCTGGGTTTGGCTTGTGGGCGCTTTTGCTGGGCTTGTGTCGGAGCCCACAAAAGTGCATAGCCTTGTGTGTGGGCGCTTGTGGGCACTTGGGCACTTGTGTGTCGAAAACAGCAAAAAACGAGGAAAAAAAAACGGGCTGACGCGAGTGCGTGTGGGCGCATGTGGGCGCACGTGGGCGCATGTGGGCGCACGTGGGGCGCATGTGGGCGCCACAAACCCACAAGCCCAGCAAAAGCGCCCAGCCCCACAATCCCAGCAAAAGCGCCCACAAGCCCAGCAAGAGCAGGCCAGCAAAAGCACTGAGCCCAGCAAAAGCGCCCACAGCCCAGCAGAAGCGCTTGGAAGCCCAGCAAGGGCGCCCACAAGCGCCCACAAGCCCAAGCCACAGCCACCAGAAGCGCCCACAAGCCCAACAAACGCGCCCGCAATCCCAGCAAGAGCAAAAGTGCTCACAACCACAAGCACTCAGAAGCACACAAACACTCACAAACGCTCACAAACACTCACAATCACTCACAAACACTCACAAACACTCACACAAACACTCACAATCACTCACACACTTACAATCACTCACAAACACTCACAATCACTCACAAACACGCACAAACACTCACAAGCACGCACGCGCTCACTCGCTCACTTGCTCACTCGCTCACTCGCTGACTCGCTCACTCGCCCACTCGCTCTCTCACTCACGCACTCACGCACTCACGCGCTCACGCAGTCAGTCACGCAGTCACGTAGTCAGTCACGCACTCAACGCACGCACGCACGCACTCTCTCACTCTCTCACTCTCTCACTCTCTCACTCTCTCACTCTCTCACTCTCTCACTCTCACTCTCTCACTCACTCTCTCTCTCTCTCTCT